CCGAACGCGCCCAGCGTGAGCAGGCCGACGCGCTCAGTTGCCATTAGCCGCAGAGCTCAAAGAGATGGGGTTTCGTTGCCTGGAGAAAAGAATTTTCTAGGCTCGAGTCATCCCGAGGCCAGAGTTTTCTTAAAATCTGCGGCTTGCCGTCCTCCCATCCCTCCCTTGGGTTGGCTGTTTTCTTTCTTTTTGAGGGCACAGTTGCGCCGAGGAGGCAAGGGATCGGCAGGCGGCGGCGGCGTCGCAGGACCAGGCAGAGGAGAGCGACGCGACAGAGGAGAAGAAGAGGTTTTCAAAAATCTCTCTCTCCAGAGCGACAAAATGGTATTGCTAAAAATCTCTCTCTCTCCAGAGAGGAGGAAGCGACAGGAGCGAGGAGGGAGAACGACGAGAGTGGGACGACCGCGAGGTGGCATGAAGGTTGTAGCGAGAATCGGCGAGGGACTGCGAAGGGAGATAGAAAGAGGCAGACGCCCAAGGGTTAGGGTGGGCGACGGCTAGCACCACACTCCTCCTTAAAATCCCTGTGTGGTGGCGGCGTGCCGTCCTCCCATCCCTCCCTTGGGGTGTCTCTTTTCTTTCTTTCTGGATACGGAGGGGAGCACAAATAGGACCCCCAGCCTTGCCCTCGTGCCGCCCAGTGCGAGTATCCTATGCGAGAGAGATCCCTGTGCCGTGTGCCCAGCCCTCTCCGCGCGCCGCGATGCGCCCTCCCCCCCCTCGCTTTTGCAAAATCCTGCAAAGGTGGGGACGTGTCTGTCCTCGACCCAGCCCTAGCTTGGGATGTCCGTTTTATTTATTTATAGCTTGACAAACACACGGCGAGGGCGACAGCAAGAGTCGAACGGGGCGGCGCCTGACTGGTGAGTGGTGTGCCAGTGTGTAGTGTCTTCGTGCGTCGCCCATCTCTCCTGGAGATGTCTGCTCTATTTATTTATTTCTGTAGAATTCATATTCCCGGGGCACGGGACTGACGTTGCTTGGGCGCTTTCCTGTTTCTTTCTTTACTGGCGTTCAAATCCACCCGGGTGGGGCGGTGGGGCGGCGTGCGCGCGCCCCTAGGCGTGCGCCGTGCCGTGGCCTCCCCCCCTCCCTCCCCTCCCGCCTCCCCGCGTGCTCTGTTCGTTTCTTTCTTCACGGGACTGGTGCGCGCGCACCACTGGCACACGAACAGAGGTAAAGATTTCACACTCGGCACGCTCTCTCAACCACGACAGTGTCAGACAGTCGACACACTTGGGCGCCGGCAAGCCAAGGGTCCAAATCCTTGTCTTGATTCTTTTCTCTTGGAACCCCGAACGCCAGAAACGACCAACTCCTTCGACTCAGGGGCCGAGCGGGTGGGCTAGATCTAGAAGCCCAGGAGCTTCCGCGCCCACCCGATGATCTCCTTGTCTGCAGACAGCTTCGCGACGGTGGAGCCCTTGTCCTCGCCCCTCTTCTGCCAGTCCTAGTCGCCCAAACGAATTCGAAAACTAGTCGCCCGCTCCTCCGTCTCCGGCTACGACTCCGAGACGCCGCACGAGATCCAGAACGAGGCGCTCTACCCCGGGCTTGCCGCGCGTACGGCTTAGGCGAACAGTTCAAGGGACAAGGCTTCGGTGCAAGACGAGGGCACCTTTGGCGAGTAGTCCGAGTGGCTCGACGAGCTGCCATTCGAGGTGGCTGCGGCGACCGCCCGGCTGCTAAAGCACTACACGCGCTCCGGCGCGTGGGTCGAGATCACGCCGCCCCTAGGCCTAGCCAGGCCCCGCGCGCTGGCCGCGACCGCGACCGCGGCCCTCCCTCGAGCCCGAACTGGGCCCATCAGACGTGCCGGAACCGTCCGACTCCTATAGCGACTAGCACACCTCAAGTGTCCCGAGAAACCCCGAGGAGTTACACAGTCCACCTGTCGGTCCTGTGTCCTGTGTGTGAATCTGTGTGTGATGTGCACGCCCCCCCCTGGCGAGCGGGGCGGGGGGGCCGGCGCGCGGGGTGCCTGCTTAGGGGGGGTGCGCACT